AATAAATAAATACTCATCATTCCCTTTTAAATAAATACCCTTCATAACATTTATCATTAACTCCATTCACATATTTAACACGTTTCACAAATTCATTCCTTCCTTACCACCGTGCATGGCCTTTGTTGTACTTACGATTGTTCTTTTGCTAAATTTAATACTCTGCTTATATAATGGCAAATTTTATCTTCATACAATACGATGACAATGTCTTACATTTCTCTTTTGTTGTTAGACTGCCCTCTTCACCAAACCTTTCCAATTACTTTGCTTCTCTTCGCCCCACATCTTGCATCCTTGTTCACGTCCTACTTTTCGAATTCTAAATTTTGTTCAAAATGTTGCCCATTACATTTCGTTATTTTTCCACTGTTCAAATACTAACTTATACTGAATTGCATCTATAGAAATTTAAAACGTTTTATAACGACCACGCTCGTCTCCTTATTACCACCGTTCATCACGAGGGTTACTATCATTCCCACTCATTCCCACTACTATCTCCGCCTTTCAACTATCTTCTTATCTGGCCAAAAAGTATACAAAAGTGTCCCCTGTAAATTAATCCTCCTCATCATACCAGTATGTCCTATCATATTTTTACTCCTAATGGCTTCTCATTTCTGTCACTTAATGCACTTGTTTTCACAATCTTTTATTTTGCACATATATATTTTCTCACACACGAAGGTCATTCTCATGTGTCATATTTCTAAAATGTCATTTTTTTTCATCACTCACCTTGTTGGTACTATTGTGATGATTTTTGTTAATTTTGTGAAATTGAATGATAGAAGAAAGTAAGCAAGATATAGAGAGAAATGGCACACTAATTTCTGTAGCTTATGGAAGACGGGATTTAATAGTGTGACGTAGTGAAATAAGAAATAAATTTCAATAACAAAATAAAAATAATATATTCAAAGATTATTTACAAGTTACAATGAATTACTAATATTAAAACACTCCGGCAACCTTTTCCTTTCAGAACACTGCTTTACCGCAGAAAATACAAGCCACGCGTGATGCGCGCTATCGGACCTCGGTCCCGTGACAATTACCGTCACATGGCCTGACGCCAAAATTTAACCCGGTCGTGGCGACCGTGTGCCTACAGCACGCGAGATTGTCTGGCCCTTACTCTCCGGACATCTCGCCCCCACTCCTACACCCCTTGTACACACACGTACAAGCTTCCCGATGCAAACTGAATGAGAACGCGGGCGCAGATGGCACCGCGTTAAATAGTTGAGGCTGACACCCCCACCACTGTTCCATAGATAGACTCGCCGGCCAGCCTTGGTTTACGCCCCCACACAGAATTCTCAGGTTGGCTGCCTGCTTCCGTAAACGAGGCTCGCCGGCAGCATCCTCGGAGTTTACAGCCTCCGGTATTTTTGGCTCTGCGGCACTACCTGAGTCAACCGCCCGAGCGCAAACCCCCGGATGTTCAGGCTCAACCCCTTCCTCCCCCGCAGCGTACTTTCACCAACCTAACGGTTCTGGCCCTCGTGTTAACGACGCCACAATAGTATTAGAAGCAACGCTGGTTTTTCCGAGGTTAAAGTGGCTGGTGCAAGGGGCAGATTGGATGTTAAAAAAATCTGGACGACAGTAAGAAAATGTAATTTGTAATTGGTTCTACGTCTATTATCCGTTCACCCTAAGAAAAATCTTGATGTAAACAATTGCACTTGTGTTAGGATGAATGTCTTTGGTTTGCTGTGTGAGGTCTTCTGTTGTAGGGACAAAGTTCTCTTCTCTGTTTAAGAACTAATTTATCTTCCTTTGTTCGTTACATTAACTTTGCGTCAAAACTAATTCATCGGTTTCGAGAAGGGAGACCAATGTGAACTGACTGCGAGTTCTTTGCGACACTATTACGAACGTCTGTCAGTTCAGACCGTGGGCGTGCTGATCGACGAGGGTCAGGCGCGTGGGCCGCCGCGCCGCCCATCGACCTGCGAGGCTCTGCAAAGTTCGATTCAGAATGCCTCAGAGTGTGGCTGGCCCTTCTCTAATTACACACAAGTGGGGAAAATTTCTTCGGAGTAGCGAAAAGCGCATCGTTCTGAACGTATTCAATTCGGAATTGAATATGAATCTGTCGTTACCGGTGAAGAAAATCGCAGTGTTCACTGGAATATTCTATCCATATTAACTCCGGAAAGAGCTCACTGACAAGGGACAACTACAAACGCCAGAGAACAAAAGAAAGGGGAAGAAACCTGTGATTGAAGCATACGATGACTTTGTAGTCAGTGTTGTTCGATCGAAAGTTCATTTCTTGCATCAAATGGGCAAAAGTGCTGAAACGAAACACCAACGCTTGTTCCTTCAAAGTTGCTTCAAAGTTGTGCGCTGGGAGACGTCCAATCAGAAGCGTAGTGCGGCGCAAAGATTTCTTCAGTTTGTTTTCATCAGTTTTTTTCTAGAGTGAACGGATAATAGTTTTCTATGTAGTTGTCTATTGGCTATATACCACAGGGCATTGGTAAATGTACGATGCATTTAATTTTGGAAGGTTTGTAAGGGTTTCATCACTGAGAAAGCGGCACCTCCACGGATTGGGGCTGCGTAAGTTAAATCAAAAAATTTGGAGCAATTTTTGAAGGAATTTGGAAAATGTTGAGGTTTCATGTAGACTACCCCAAAAACAAAAATATCCGTTTCAAATTCGCAGAGCCTCGAGTTCGATCAGATTGATTGAAGAATATCAATTCTGAAGAAAATCGGCTGAAAGGCTAAAGCGGCCACAGTTGGACGGAGAGACGGACAGACGGACGTCTTTCCGTCAATTTATCGGCACCAGATGACGTAGTGTTGACCACAGACAGACGTTCAGAAGGCAGATGGATAGACGCAGAGACGTACAGAGGCTGTTTTGCTGTAAATGGGTTTGTCAGTATCAGAGTCCCACCCTTGTTAGAGGAAGTAATTTACTACATATAGATAGAAGCTTTATCCACATTTTCGTTACCAGAACCCGGCTATAAGAGAGGTTCAATTGTCTTTGCGTATACAAGAGTTTTACTGTTCAAGAGCTCCAGATGTACCCCTGTCAAGAAGAAAGTGAAATTTCTGACAATACTCTTTGCTCTTTTAAACCCAGATGAAGCTATCTATTGGACCTAGTAGAAAAATTAAATTAATATTTGTTCATTGACGATGTACGAATATTATTTCGCCACTTCAGAATATCTAGTAGTTGATAATCATAACTAATTATTTGTATTAATAAGTAAAATTAATTTCATTTGTATAATGAAAACCACTTAATAAAAACAATTAAAATCTGGTTATGATTCTAAGTGCATTTCTTTTTTTATTCATTTTCTTAGTTTGTCCCCCTTGAAATTCAAATTTCTTGTTATTATAAGTATTTGAAAACAAAGATAGTAAAAACAATTTAATGGTTTTGATTCAAATAAAATATTTCAATAATGACCCACTACTTTTTTATAGGCAGCGATATCTAAGATTAATAAACGAAGGTTATTAAAACTTTTACACAATCATACTGTATATTGTAAACACACATACAATAAACAATTAAATCCACAAAGTTTTATTCTAAAACTTTCATGTTCATTATTAAGTTCTTGCTAAACGACACTACGAGCGTAGAAGATATGGAGTTCCTCTTCATTAGGTGCATTGTTTTAGAATCTATAATTATGAATAACATTGATGTTGATACGTGATCAAATTGTAATATATTTCATTTTTCAAACTACATATAAACACATTTCGTAATATTGAAATTCGTAACATCAAAATGAAAAGGCTTTGATGTATTTTTTACATCACAATTGCACACCTGAAAAACTGTGAAGTGAATCCATTCATTAAAAACTCTTTATGACAATTTAAACCAATAAGGAAATGAGGACCCATTGCACCAACGGTTAATGGTTCCAGTCTTGTAAGAACTTTGACTTTCTCAAAAATATTTAGTATTTAAGCTTTTCTTATTATAGGAAATAATGAAAATATAATGTTTTCGTTGTTTTCTTACCTTTCCAGACGCATCGGACATGATTAATTAATCTAGACATTGCTGCTGTGTGGGTTGTGATGTGAGTAGTGTCTGATACAATCATGTTACAAATATGCAATTTTCTGATGTGATACCGCCCCGCTGTGTTTTCTAAACACAAATCGCCGCTTTCTGTCCTGTAATAATTTGTAGAACAACGTAATGTGATAGGCTTCAGTTATCGCCCGAAGAGAAGTTATCTGTGACTTTTCTAGTTTCCTCTTAATGAGAGTTTTTTAGCATCATCAGCTAAGATCGGAGTATATTAAGTAAATATTCTTTCTAAAGAGTATCTGGCAACCTACAGGAGATAATTTTTTTACCTGCTGTTCTTAATCTCAATCAAGATTTGTACATATGGTACATACAATTGTGGCAATAAAGGTGTGTGGGAATAATAAGACTCCCAGATAATTTTGGTTGTCAAGTTTCCTTATGTTTCGCCCCTAAAACACAATAGTAGTAAGTGGCCCATTTTATTCCTCTATATTAACAATAATTTAAATAATGTAAAGCAGTATGATATGTCGTACAATGACTAATACGTTTTTTTACTTTTCCATTACACTAGTAAAATAGAATGAGACTAACCTAGAAATCCCTTTCTATATTACAGTTGTATCACCTTTTTAAATGTATAATATATTATTTCGATTTGACACATTCTATAGTGTATTTTTATCTTCTCATTTCATAAAAATTTTTAATTGATCTGTCTTTCAAGATAGTGTAATTCTATTACTGAGACACTAGAATTAAAATATTTCTTATAAAATTATTTTTTTCTACTTGACACGTGAAAGTAATTTTGATAGTAATTAATATTATTAGCCTTTTATTATATAACATCCATTACAGACAGAATCGCATAGTATAACTCATTGTAAATTTAAATATTTTCCTTAAAATAGGCGCCAATTATGTCGCAAAGAATATCGAGAAATAAATTTCATGAACAGTCTTTGGAGGACAGCTCCAGTGGATAGTTATGCGCCAACGCCCCTTGGGGTCGGGAATTGCCAGACACGTCCACGAGGTCGACGGAAGAAGTTCGTGCCAGCGACTGCCGATCCGTGAGAAATCATTTGATCGTCTCGCGAATACCTATACTACAGGGTATGTATTTTTCAACCTATGAATACGTAATTTCACTTTCATTATTTTAAAATCATACGAATAATTCAATTTTGTAAAACTATTTTACTTCAATAGATTTATGCTAGTAAAGAAATGTTGGTGGTGAATATATCAAAACATAATTCTTGCAAGATTCACTATGATAATCGTTTAATGTTTAAAATATTTAGCACGAAATCTATATAAACGATTAATATTTACCATCTCTAAGAGTTGTGTGGACCGTTATCTAAATTTTTGTTAGTTTAGAAGAGTGATGGAACTTGATTGTTTACGCGCTTCTAAAGACTGTGAATTAAATATGCATCGCGCAATAAACAAAGGCTGACCGAAAATTGTAAACAATTATTGGACATTTCAAAGAACGGCACTATATCTATGCCTCTAAAGAGATTTGTTTTCGACTTCTTAGTAGTAGTAGACTTTAACATTAAAGACCCTTGTAAAGTGCAACAAAGATGCCTTTGTCAGGTCTTTGGTTCAAGATGTTCTACGGCTGAAATGTAGTATACGGTACAACCTAAGGAAGTCGTTTAAACCGTCACTTCGTGCCGTTCCCGCGTTAACTAGGCAGTTAGAATTCTGGTGGCTTTCTTGAAACGTGCTTTCTTATGAAAGTGAATTGGTAATTATGCGTTGGATAGACTCAAGGATGTTTATAGTGAAGGCGAGGGCCGAAGGCCCGAGCCTCGCCGTGACTTGGATCCGGGCGAGCGAAGCGAGAAAACTTGCCTTTGAAAGTAAATTGGCGTTACAATGCGGCGGGGACAAAGCATATACAGGACGAACCATGAAAATCTATTCGTATGTTTTTCTAATTTCTATTAGAGCACGTACTGTAATTAGGGCTTAAGCCCCGCCGCCACGCTTCTCTACGGGTGCACCGTATACTAAACTTTAACCTGTTCTACATTCGATGTCGCAGATTCGGATTCAATGCAAGAATTCAAAAGGCCCCGCCTGAACTTTGGCGCGCGCACAGAAAAAAATGGCGTTTTGCTACTAAGCTGTTAATGCACCAGAGCCCCTTTTGTTTTACCCGTTCTCGGGAGCCACACTAGGTCGAATCTTTGAGTAAGGTGCAATAACACAAGTTTTATTGAAGGTCATACGAAATGAAAGAACGCTTTCAATGCCCCTTTCCTCTTTTGTGAAATTTCAAAAAGCCAAAATTTCGGCATGGTGCGTTTGTCCTTTCCTGGACTTTACGTCCAGCAATTACGGAAAAGGATGAGAGTAGGGGCACTGGTGTCTTCATATCTAACTCACAAAAAGCCGCCAAATATTTTCTGTGCGTGTGCAAGGTAGGCAAGGTAGGGTAAGGTGCTTAGGCTGATAGATGTTGGGCCTTCCACATACCTACTAAAGTATTTCACGTATTCTTGTGGTACAACATATAAAAACGTATTAACCTATTTTCACATTCATTTCTAACTTGAAATGCATTTCAACCTATTTGTAACTTTCTGTACACCAGACGTGCGTGATAAAAGAAAATAAAGTTCCTTAAATGTTGAATAAAATCGAATACTGACTAGGAAATGTTAAATCCTGTAATTTAATCACTTAAAAACTCATTGAAAGTTGGGCTCTTTTCTTATAGTAACGATCGAGAGAATCTGCTCGCCGTGAGAGAATTTGGCGAACAACATGGCCTGCGGGCGGAATGCTTTATAGCTTCGAATTTTAAGGAGCAATGACGCTTTTCTAAGCTCTTGTTGAATTTCGTCAAGTATACGACCTTCACCCAATGTGATTAACATAAAACATGCTGGAGGCGGCCCATCACGCAATTTCCGACAAATTTTATTCACAAGTACTTTTAGCCGAACACGTTTAACCTGAAATTTGACGCTTCGCTACGCGTCAGTTGGAGACTCTGATCTTCGGCCTACGCGATTAATAGAAAACATTTTTGAACCTGTCCAACTCATTTATCCTCATACTTTAACACATTACGTTCACATATGAACTATGAAATGGTGTTCCCTCGTTTCCACCATTCGTCCTTCGCATTCGTTCAAAAATCTCGTTACGGTCGGCACTCGAGGCGATAAGGACCGAATTTTGTCTTGGAGTTAATGCGTTATGATTTGTTGCTCCTCGTTTAATTCCTCTTTAGGGACGCTGAATATTACTGAGTCTGCAGGAATGGAGTCACAATCTCTGCAGAGCAGCGAGCCCGATACTTTTCCGTTGCAGCGCCTGTTGATGGCAGACACTCCAGGGCCTCCGGAGGGCGAAGGCGCGGAAACTGATGGCGCTGGCGGTGGCCGCAGAGCGCACTTTCAAACAGAGGGCGACGTTGAGCAGTCGCCCAATGGCGTCGTCAAGATCTCCAGCCCAAGGTTAGAGGCCTGCTCACGGGTAATAGTGTGCCTTCAATAAACCCCTTGTTGGATAAATCGATATCATGACTCATACAGTAAATTTTGGCAGAACTCAATGTTCGTATATTTTGTTATCAATTTCATGATAGTAGTTTTAGGCAGTGTAAAGTTATCAGTACGTATCACAAGTATTCTGAAGTTTGTATCGCACAGATCGTAAATTACAATACTGAAATATCAGGCCAATATTTCATTATTGTTTCAAACGGAAAAATCTTTGTATTAATCGAATTTGTTTGGGGTGTTTCCCATGGATAAAATGATGTCCTAGTTTGTTCAAGTTTTTAGTTTTTCTTAAATGATCGAAGATTTCCTCTCAAATTTTAGAAAATTAATTTAAGAAAAGTATTTTAATTTGCGTACTGAAACACTATCACCTAGCGAAAAGAAATAGCAACTATTAGCAAAGTGCATCGTTCTTACTGACAAGTGTTTATTATATCGAATTATCAATTCACTGATCTGTTTAGAAAAACCTTTAAAATCGCATCTGCAGAAGAAAGGAATGATTTGTTTTATTTATTTTCAGTCGAAACATTGGAATATATTTAATGAACTGTCATGAGTAAATTAGACTTCGCCATGTGCTTGGTATTTGTGCATTACGCAAACTTTTAAGGACAAACGTGTTAAGGAATAATTAACCAATGTGTGTAGTATGGCTGAAATATATCTAGAGAGCAAAAAACTTCCAATTTTGTAGTTGTGTCTGAGTGTAATTTCATTCTCTGTGTGATGAAACCAGTCCACATGATTCAACTCACTACAAATTATTCAAATGTATACGTAGATTATGCTTTGTTAAACCTAAATCGAGATGTTTGAGGCAAAATAATCAGATTTTGCATGTGAAGAGAGTGAAGTATTCAGATTTGGACAGTGTACTGTGCTTAATACAGTTGAAA